CACCCTGCCTAGGTGGTAGACGGCCGACTTGAAAAAAAAAAATGTACCCTTACCTAAATAAACCTACACACTGTGCTGGTGTGCAGATACACATTAAAATCACTAAGAGTGTCTTATTAGTCTTGAGGATGCCATATTAATAATAATAATCACTCTGAGGCACATTGTCGTATATTACGTTAATACATATACACATTTTCAATGATCCATCAATGATATTTTTCAAAATTATGTAATAAACATGCTACGTAACAAATAAACATGATAAATACACCCCACAGTCAGGGCCGGATTACCGCATAGGCAAACTAGGCATTTGCCTAGGGCCCCGCGCATTTGGGGGCCCCGCGGTCCAAGGGGTTCAGGGGCTCATCCAAGACTGCGCACATGGTGCAAGTGCAAAGGGGTCCCTACCTAAAAAGTTCAAGTGTTTGGAGAGTAAAATTGATTTTTAAAAATTAATCAAAACAAAAATAATGAAATAAAATAAGAATAAATAAACCTAACCATAGATGGCAACACTCAACACGCCTTTGTTTACATCAGAACAGCTGTGTTTTCCCGCTAATGGGTGAGTATGGGAGATTCCTCCCCAATTTTCTGTAGTTTATATGATTTGATAGTCTTATGCATGATGCAATGATAACAATAATGGTCAGTGATTTATAAAGGGAATAATAGTGCTGTAGTGGTTATGCTGAATATAACAGGTACATGATGTCACTACTTTAATAGCCTAATCTAGTAATACTATGCTGTCTTGAGTTTATTCTCTTTAAAATGCATGATTTAACAAGATAGTTATAATGGCTGTTGGTAAATGGTTTTGGTTGTCTTGATGTACTTTCCCTATTAAATTTAATCTAAATAGCCAGAATGTATTTAATTAGACCTTAAACAGGCTCACACCGACCACCCCCCTCCCACCCCCAAGCTGGAAGGGGTCGCTTCACTTACCCGTAACTCAAAGGGGCCCCGCCAATCTGAATAGCCTAGGGCCCGGAGACTTCTTAATCCGGCCCTGCCCACAGTAGAATAAATTAACATAAATATGAGGTGCTTTTCTAGTCGTCGGAGTGTCAGAAAAAATAACGTTTTCTCCAGTTCAACACCAAAGAAAATGTATACGCAATAATATTACTGGGGGGTAAAGAGAGAGAGAAAGCGTGCATTGTGTTGGAAGCTAAACAATATTGTATTTGTTATTATCATTATTATTATTATTTTTTTTTATTAACACATCGGCCAATTCCCACCAAGGCAGACGGCCCGAAAAAGAAAAACTTTCATCATCATTCATTCCATCACTGTCTTGTCAGAGGGGTTCTTTACACTACAGTTATAAAACTGCAACAGCCCTGCTTCAGAGTGTATACACTGTACTTCCCATCTCTAAGATTCAAGTTCGGCCTGCCAGTTTCCCTGAATCCCTTCATAAATGCTACTTTGCTCACACTCAACAGCACGTCAAGCATTTAAAACCATTTGTCTCCATTCACTCCTATCAAACACACTCATGCATGCTTACTGGAAGTCCAAGCCCCTTGCACACAAAACCTCCTTTACCCCCTCCATCCAACCCTTCCTAGGCCGACCCCTACCCCGCCTTCCCTTCACTACAGATTTATACACTCTCGAAGTCATTCTGTTTTGTTCCATTCTCTCTACATGTCCGAACCACCTCAGCAACCCCTCCTCAGCCCTCTGGATAATAGTTTTGGTAATCCCACACATTCTCTTAATTTCCGAACTATGAATTCTTTGCATTATATTTACACCACACACTGCCCTCAGACATGACATCTCCACTGCCTCCAGCCTTCTCCTCGTTGCAACATTCATTACCCACGCTTCACACCCATACAAGTGTTGGTACAACTATACTCTCATATATTCCCCTTTTTGCTTCCACAGACAAAGTTCTTTGTCTCCACAGGCTCTAAGTGCACCACTCACCCTTTTCCCCTCATCAATTCTGTGATCCACTTCATCCTTCATAGATCCACCTGCTGACACGTCCACTCCTAAATATCTGAATACATTCACCTCCTCCATACTCTCTCCCTCCAATCTTTTGTCGCCTAATCTTTTTGTTATCCTCATAACCTTACTCTTTCCTATATTCACTTTTAATTTTCTTCTTTTACATACCCTACCAAATTCATCCACCAACCTCTGCAACTTCTCTTCAGAATCTCCCAAAAGCACCATGTCATCAGCAAAGAGCAACTGTGACAACTCCCACTTTGTGTTTGATTCTTTATCTTTTAACTGCACACATCTTGCCAAGACCCTAGCATTCACTTCTCTTACAACCCCATCTATAAATATATTGAACAACCACGTTGACATCACACATCCTTGTCTAAGGCTTACTTTTACTGGGAAATAATCTCCCTCTCTCCTACATACTCTAACCTGAGCCTCACTATCCTCGTAAAAACTCTTCACTGCTTTCAGTAACCTACCTCCTATACCATACATCTGCAACATTGCCCCCCTTTCTACCCTGCCAATTGCCTTTTCTAAATCCATAAATGCCACAAAAATCTCTTTACCCTTATCTAAATACTGTTCCTCTATATGTTTCACTGTAACCACTTGGTCTACACACCCTCTACCTTTCCTAAAGCTGCCTTGTTCATCTGCTATCCTCCTCTCTGTCTTACTCTTAATTCTTTCAATAATAACTACCATACACTTTACCAGGTATACTCAACAGACTTATTACCTTATAATTTTTGCACTCTCTTTTATCCCTTTTGCCTTTATACAAAGGAACTATGCATGCTCTCTGCCAATCCCTAGGTACCTTACCCTCTTCCATACATTTATTAAATAATAGCACCAACCACTCCAAAATTATATCCCCTCCTGCTTTTAACATTTCAATCTTTATCTCATCAATCCCAGCTGCCTTACCCCCTTTCATTCTACCCACTGCCTCACAAACTGTCCCCACACTCACAACTGGCTTCTTCCTCACTCCTACAAGATGTTATTCCTCCTTGCCCTATACACGAAATCACAGCTTCCCTATCTTCATCAACATTTAACAATTCCTCAAAATATTCCCTCCATCTTCCCGATACCTCTAACTCTTCATTTAACAACTCTCCTCTCCTGTTTTTAACTGTCAAATCCATTTGTTCCCTAGGCTTCCTCAACTTATTAATCTCAATCCAAAATGTTTTCTTATTTTCAACAAAATTTGTTGATAACATCTCACCCACTCTCTCATTTGCTCACTTTTTACATTGCTTCACCTCTCTTAACCTCTCTTTTTCTCTCCATATACTCTTCCCTCCTTGTATCACTTCTACTTTGTAAAAACCTCTCATATGATAACTTTTTCTCCCTTACTACTCTCTTTACATCATCATTCCACCAATCGCTCTTCTTCCCTCTTGCACCCATTTTCCTGTAACCACAAACTTCTGCTGAACACTCTAACACGACATTCTTAAACCTACCCCATACGTCTTCGACCCCATTGCCTACACTCTCACTAGCCCATCTATCCTCCAATAGTTGTTTATATCTTACCCAAACTGCCTCCTCTTTTAGTTTATACACCTTCACCTCTCTCTTACTTGCTGCTTCTATTTTCCTTGTATCCCATCTACCTTTTACTCTCACTGTAGCTACAACTAGAAAGTGATCTGATATATCTGTGGCCCCTCTATAAACATGTACATCCTGAAGTCTACTCAACAGTCTTTTATCTACCAATACATAGTCCAACAAACTACTGTCATTACGCCCTACATCATATCTTGTATACTTATAACTAAACCCCTTTCTATACAAAGGTTCAATCAAAGGGCTCCCATTATCATTTACACCTGGCACCTCAAATTTACCTATCATACCCTCTTCTAAAGGTTTCTCATACTTAAGCATTTAGGTCTCCTGCCACAATTACTCTCACCTGGTTCAAAAGTTCCTATACATTCACTTAACATCTCCCAAAATCTCTCTCTCTCCTCTACACTCCTCTCTTCTCCAGGTGCATACACACTTATTATGACCCACTTTTCACATTCGACCCTTATTTTAATCCACATAATCCTTGAATTTACACATTTATATTCCCTCTTCTCCTTCCATAACTGGTCCTTCAACATTATTGCTACCCCTTCCTTAGCTCTAACTCTCTGATACTCCTGACTTAATCCCATTTATTTCTCCCCCACTGAAACTCGCCTACCACCTTCAGCTTTGTTTCGCTTAGGGCCAGGACATCCAACTTATTATTATTATTATTATCATCATAATACAAACGTGTGTTTGTTTACAGCCTCCATGTCTCTATCCTCTCTGTCATTTATTCATTCTCTCTCTTGTTTATTTCTATCTCGTTTATTCACTTCTCACCCTACATTAAGACTAGAAATATTTTGAGATAAGTAATGAGTGAACTGTGTATGCATTTTATCGCTCTGAGACACTTTGAATGTTAAATGGATGGGGTGGGGTGGCCTGGCTGGCTAACATACCTATGACACCTGATTTCTTACTATAAATACTATTCCTCTCACCCTACATTAAGGCTACAAATATTTTAAGGTAAGTAATGAGTGTACTATATGAGTATTTTACATTTTTATTGTTTTTAATGCCTACTTCTATTCCTAACTATAACAGTGTAAACTTGTTATCTACCATTTATATGCATTTATAAGTGGGGAAAAAAAGGGCATTTCAATTTATGGCGACTTCCGCTTTACAGCGGTAGCATGGAACCTAACCTGCCATATAAGTGGGGCCCTACTGTAATTGTATCATTGAATTTGGGTTTAGTCTTTATTTTACCCTAATTTACTTAGGACTGCTAAAATTCTATATTCTTTTAGGACCCTTTGCATCCATTAATAACACTGGTACAAATGAAAAAAATTAAATCCTGTGCATTTTAACCTTTACTGAATATTTCTGGAAATACTTTTTGCAGAAATGAATGCTCTCATTACTTTGATTTTAAAAAATAAATCACTAACCCCTGGGTGGACCAATAGTAAGAGTGACTGAGTAGCCCGATTCCTTGATGAGGTTGACTATGTGCCCATGATGAAGGGTCTTAATGTCTACACCATTGACAGATAGGATACGATCACCAACATTCAATCGACCACAGCGTTCGGCTGGACTCCCTTCAATTATCCGACCTGCAATGGTTAAAATTATTAGTACACTTAGGTCTATGAATAAAAAAGCTAGCTGATTCAGTCAACTGATTACATACGCATCTCTATATGGAACGCTGTTAATAGATAATGGTGGCGGAGTTAGTGAGAGTAACAACTGTGGGTTACAGATGAGAAAAAACAAGTAAAACAGTGGGAATAAAGACAATACCTTTGCTGGAACAATTCACCAAAAGTCCACAGTCAGGGGAGGAACTTTATGTTCTGGACCACTGTCAAGTCACAACAGTCATGACTTCACAGTGGTCCAGGATGGACCACAACGTCCTCTCCTAAGTGGAGTTTTGATGAAAACAATGGGAAAATAAGAAAATGTTTCAGAAACAATTAGTGAGAAACCTAAGGAAGCATGTGGATGTGTCAGTTAAGTTTAGGAGGAGAATAACGGGGATGAGGATGACTGGTAGTAGTAGCAGTAGTGAGAGAGAGAGACAGATGGATGGATAGAATATTTCAAGAGGTTACTGAATGTAGATTATGAAACAGGAAAATGTATGCCTGGGATACAAAGGAATACGAAGTATTAGAATGTGTGAAAAGTCAGAAGTGGGTAAAACAAAATTTAACTTGTGGAAATGCAACAAGAGTGGCTGGAATTAAGGGCCACATCTACTGGTTTCCTTAACCCTTTGAGGGTTTTCGTCGTACTAGTACGTCTTACGCGTAGGGGTTTTTGACGTACTAGTACTCATAAATTCTAGCGGCCTCAAATCTAGTGGGAGAAAGCTGGTAGGCCTTTATATGAAAGAATTGGTCTATGTGGTCAGTGTGCACAGTCTAAAAAAAATCCTGCAGCACACAGTGCATAATGAGAAAAAAAAAACTTTGACCATTTTTGTTAATAATCAGCGACTATAGTTTTTCTTGGTATTATTTTTGCTATTCAGAATTGTGGTTCATTTTACATGAAGAAGGATATATCACGAATTGAGACTATTTTGACTGGTTTCTCAATTATAGGTGCCTGAATTGAGTCAAAGTAGATAATTTCGATTAGTTTAATAAATAAAATAAACAAATCGTCCATACATAGCATCCATACTGGTGATCTAAATATTGTTGATTAAGGCCCAAAATTAGTTAACCATTTTTAAACACTAAGCATAGTGCATAACAGTAAACTTAATTTTTTGAAAAATACAAAAGTCAAGTCAAGCAAAGAATATAAGTGGGCCTGAGACGTGACTAATGACTAAGGAAATGTCACATTTCAGTGCCAGAATGTCTTCTCTAATCTGGACTATTTGAATGGCACTACAATTGGGAAAATGAAAATTGTTTCAGAACCACTTAGTGTAGAAATAAGAAGATGTGGATTTCGTTAATTCGGAGAGAATAATGGAGTTCTAGGAATACTGTTTTGTCGCAGAAAGTGAGAGCCAAAAAATGAGAAAGTCAGATCGGATGGAAACAGAGATATTTCGAAGGTTATGAATGTTGTTATGAAACAGGAAAATTATGGTGGTTACAAGGGAATACGAATCTTATTTTTCATAAGAAGGGGAAACATAATTTTACTTGTGGAAATAAAAGAGTGGGCCCCCCGGGAAAATTAAGGGCCCGTCTACTGGTTCTAAAAAAAAAAAAAAAAAAAAAAAAAGTGATTATTGTGCCATTTTATTTGTAAAACACGCACAGTGCCTGGGATATCAGCAGAGGCTCATATCAACCAAATAACCCCTGCAGTCAAGGCTTGCCTGGCAAATCTGAGAGTGTCCTTCAGGAATCTCAACAAAGATGCTTCTTGTCATTTTCTATAATATATGTCAGGCCCATATCCTGGAGTATGCAGCACCAGTATGGAACCTACACCTGAGAAAGCTTGTTAAGAAACTGAAGAAAGTGCAGAAGTATACAACAAGGCTTGTTACTGGGTTAAGGGGTATGACCTATGAGGAAAGGTTAATAATAATAGTAATAACAGAACAGAACCAGGGGAGATATGATAACATACAAAATGTTCAGAGAATTGATAGGGACAGAAAAAGTGGTGGAGACAGGGTCCATACATAACCATTAACCCTTTTGCTGACTGTGCTATAGTACTACAGCTTTGACGTCACTGTCAGTGCTGCAGTACTATGCCATGAGTACAGCTCACTCAGAAAAGCTGTGAGCAGTAAATTTGGGCCTAGATACGAGAGAATGGGTCTATGTGAGAAGCGTGCAACATATAAAAAAATTCAGTGCATAATGAGAAAAAACTGCAACCATGTTCTTGTCTTAAAACAGTGATTTTGCAGTGTATTTTCGTATGGTTTTTATGGTTGTATTCTCAGTTTCTTGGTCTCAATTGACAGAATTTAGATATATTACAGAAATAGGGATGATATTGATTGGTTTCAGATTGAAAATAGCTTCAAATTGAGCTTAAAGTAGTGGAAATGTTTGACTTTTGCTGATATTCAAGAGTAAACAAATCACATCACTCGTCCAATACACATCCAACTGGTGGGTCTAATGTGCATTCATGAATATGCTGATATTATTTATACAATAAATCCAATATTGCATAACAGTGCAGTAGGGCTCCACTTTACGGCATTTTGCCTGATGGCATTCTGCTAATACAGACATTACAAATTATGACCAAAACTCTCTATACGGCTCCACCCCATCACTGACTCTAACACGGTCACCGCAGGCCACCTGGTTTGTTTACATTCTCCTTGAGCACAACTCTCCATTATGTCTGGAAACTTTCCAAAATTTCAAGTGTTTTAAAGTTATTTTATATATACTCTGATATTTATACTTATGTGTACCTGTACCTATATAAACCTACACACTGCTGGCATGCAGGTACACGTTAAAATCATTAAGAGTGTCGTATTAGTCTTGAAGATGCCATATTAATAATGATAACAACAACACAATAATAATCACTCTGAGGTGCATTAAATGTCATACATTATGTTAATAGAGGCATTTTGATTAATCCATGATATTTTTTCAAAATTATATAATAAACACGCTATGTAACATATAAACATGATAAATACACTCCACGGTAAAATAAATTAACATAAATATGAGATGTTTTTCCAGTCATCTTGTCAAAGTAATTTTTTTTTATTATCACACTGGCCGATTCCCACCAAGGCAGGGTGGCCCGAAAAAGAAAAACTTTCACCATCATTCACTCCATCACTGTCTTGCCAAAAGGGTGCTTTACACTGCAGTTTTTAAAGTGCAACATTAACACCCCTCCTTCAGAGTGCAGGCACTGTACTTCCCATCTCCAGGACTCAAGTCCGGCCTGCGGTTTCCCTGAACCCCTTCATAAATGTTACTTTGCTCACACTCCAACAGCACGTCAAGTATTAAAAACCATTTGTCTCCATTTCACTCCTATCAAACACGCTCACGCATGCCTGCTGGAAGTCCAAGCCCCTCGAACAGAAAACCTCCTTTACCCCCTCCCTCCAACCTTTCCTAGGCCGACCCCTACCCCGCCTTCCTTCCACTACAGACTGATACACTCTTGAATTCACTCTGTTTCGCTCCATTCTTTCTACATGTCCGAACCACCTCAACAACCCTTCCTCAGCCCTCTGGACAACAGTTTTGGTAAACTGTTGTCAAAGTATTGGAAGCAATAACGTTCTCTCAAGTTCAACACCAATAGTATTACTGGGGGTAAATGTAGAAAATTATTCCTTTTGTATGCCTTCACTCAGTGTTATTCCTTTTAAAAATGGTGTGTTGCATGAGAATGGGAGTGTTTCTCTTTATTTATTCTACTTTACCAATGTGGAGACAACTGTACACAATGTAAGGCGTTTGTATTATGGTATAACATTTACAGACATGGGAATAAACGTGTATCAAATATAACCAGATGCATTCGTCTGTTTGCTTACATACTCTGCGGCTCTGTCCTCCCTCATATACTCGTTCTTTCTCTCTATTCATTTTTATATCGTGTATTCACTTCTCACTCTACATTAACCCCTTGACTGTCACAACCCCCAATCCTAAGGTGTCTCCTGGTGTTGCAAAATTTAAAAAAAAAAAAAAAAATTATTTTTTCTTATGAAATGATAGAGAATCTTTTCCCGATTGTAATGACACCAAAAAGAAAAAAGAAATTTGATGAAAAACTGACGGAATTATGCTCCTGCAAAATTAGTGACCTCTGCGATATTTACAAATCGGCGATTTCGCCCGCTTTGAGCCTTATTTTCGGCTAATTCCATTGTTCCAGTCAACCAAACTCATAGCTATTTCTTTAGAACTCCGTTTTTTCTATCGATTGAGTACACGAAACTGCCTATTTACCAATTTCAACTACCCAATAATGTGGTCAGAAATTTGTAATTTGGCCAATTTCACAAAAATTAAAAAATATGACAATTTCAAAATAAGGTCCTGAATGAACAATGCAGACATTCCTGGCTCTAAAATAACATTTTCTTTGTTCATCAGTCATGTCCCCAGGCCCCTCTGATATTACTCTTGCTTTCTATTTTGAATTTTTATTCAAACAAAAAGTAGAAGATTTACTGTTATGCAGACTACTGCAATACTGTAATAATTGTATAAATAGCATCAACCCATTCATGACTGCATATCAGAATGGCTAGTTGGACATTTATTGGACAATGACATAATTTGTTTACTTTTGAACATCGGCAAAAATCAAACATTTCCCCTAATTTGAGCTCCATTTCCAGGTTCTTTTTATAGTAAAATCAATCAAAATCACCTCTATTTCTATAATATGTTTTCCATTCTATCAAATGAGACCAAGAAAACGAGAATACAACCATAAATACTATAAGAAAATAGACCACAAAGTCGGCATTTTAATTAAAAAAAACTGAGTTTTTTTTTCTCATTATGCACTGCATGCTCCAGGATTTTCTTTATATGATGCACACTGACCACACAGACCCATTCTCTCACATGTGGGCCTACCAGCTTTCTCCTGCTTGATTTGAAGCCGCTAGAATTTGAGTATACGTATATACGTCAAACACGGTACCTCGTAAGATGTATATACAGTGGACCCCCGGCATACGATGGCATCGCGTTACGTTAAATCTGGCATACAATACATTTTAACACAAAAATTTTGCCTCGCCTCACGCAATTCGTCCGGGACACGTCCCACGTGTGGCCTCAGCACCAGTGTTCACAAGCCAGCCAATGGGGTCGCATCTACGCATACATTCAGTACATTTCACATTATCCCAGTGTTTTTAGTGCTTGTAACTACAAAGTAAGTCACCATGGACCCCAAGAAAGCTTCTAGTGCCATCCCTGTGGTAAAAAGGGTGAGAATTAGTATGGAATTGAAAAAAGAGATTAAGGAAATGTGTGCAGAGTGGCTTGAAGTGCAAACCTTTATGGATGAAAATCACCCTCACACAGCTATTGCAAGCCGTGCTGGTGACTATTACAATGACAATGTTGTGAATCACTTTAGACAAATCATAAAGGAACGAGAGGTACAGAGCTCTATAGACAGATATGTTGTGCAACAGAGGTCCAGTGACTCTCAAGCTGGTCCTAGTGGCATTAAAAGGAGGAGGGAAGTAACCCCGGAAAAGGACTTGATACCTCAAGTCCTAATGGAAGGGGATTCCCCTTCTAAACAATAAGTTCGACACTCTCCCCTCCTCCCATCCCATCAATCATCACCAGATCTTCATTAAAGGTAAGTGTCATGTATTCTATTGTTAGTAGAGTACTACTAACTGTGCATGTCTTCTTCAGTTTGTGTGCATTAAACTTAATATTTCATGTGGTAAAACTTTTTTTTCTTACTTTTGGGTGTCTCGCACGGATTAATTTGATTTCCATTATTTCTTATGGGGAAAATTAATTCGCCTTACGATAATTTCGGCATATGATGAGCTCTCAGGAATGGATTAATATCGTATGCCGGGGGTACCTAGGGATTGGCAGAGAGCATGTATAGTCCCTTTATGTAAAGGGAAAGGGGACAAAAGAGATTGTAAAAATTATAGAGGAACAAGTTTACTGAGTATACCAGGAAAAGTATACGGTAGGGTTATAATTGAAAGAATTAGAGGTAAGACAGAATGTAGGATTGCGGATGAGCAGGGAGGCTTCAGAGTGGGTAGGGGATGTGTAGATCAAGTGTTTACATTGAAGCATATATGTGAACAGTATTTAGATAAAGGTAGGGAAGTTTTTATTGCATTTATGGATTTAGAAAAGGCATATGATAGAGTGGATAGAGGAGCAATGTGGCAGATGTTGCAAGTATATGGAATAGGTGGTAAGTTACTAAATGCTGTTAAGAGTTTTTATGAGGACAGTGAGGCTCAGGTTAGGGTGTGTAGAAGAGAGGGAGAATACTTCCCGGTAAAAGTAGGTCTTAGACAGGGATGTGTAATGTCACCATGGTTGTTTAATATATTTATAGATGGGGTTGTAAAAGAAGTAAATGCTAGGGTGTTCGGGAGAGGGGTGGGGTTAAATTATGGGGAATCAAATTCAAAATGGGAATTGACACAGTTACTTTTTGCTGATGATACTGTGCTTATGGGAGATTCTAAAGAAAAATTGCAAAGGTTAGTGGATGAGTTTGAGAATGTGTGTAAAGGTAGAAAGTTGAAAGTGAACATAGAAAAGAGTAAGGTGATGAGGGTATCAAATGATTTAAATAAAGAAAAATTGGATATCAAATTGGGGAGGAGTAGTATGGAAGAAGTGAATGTTTTCAGATACTTGGGAGTTGACGTGTCGGCGGATGGATTTATGAAGGATGAGGTTAATCATAGAATTGATGAGGGAAAAAAGGTGAGTGGTGCGTTGAGGTATATGTGGAGTCAAAAAACGTTATCTATGGAGGCAAAGAAGGGAATGTATGAAAGTATAGTAGTACCAACACTCTTATATGGATGTGAAGCTTGGGTGGTAAATGCAGCAGCGAGGAGACGGTTGGAGGCAGTGGAGATGTCCTGTCTAAGGGCAATGTGTGGTGTAAATATTATGCAGAAAATTCAGAGTGTGGAAATTAGGAGAAGGTGTGGAGTTAATAAAAGCATTAGTCAGAGGGCAGAAGAGGGGTTGTTGAGGTGGTTTGGTCATTTAGAGAGAATGGATCAAAGTAGAATGACATGGAAAGCATATAAATCTATAGGGAAAGGAAAGAGGGGTAGGGGTCATCCTCGTAAGGGTTGGAAAGAGGGGGTAAAGGAGGTTTTGTGGGCGAGGGGTTTGGACTTACAGCAAGCGTGCATGAGCGTGTTAGATAGGAGTGAATGGAGACGAATGATACTTGGGACCTGACGATCTGTTGGAGTGTGAGCAGGGTAATATTTAGTGAAGGGATTCAGGGAAACCGGTTATTTTCATATAGTCGGACTTGAGTCCTGGAAATGGGAAGTACAATGCCTGCACTTTAAAGGAGGGGTTTGGGATATTGGCAGTTTGGAGGGATATGTTGTGTATCTTTATACGTATATGCTTCTAAACTGTTGTATTCTGAGCGCCTCTGCAAAAACAGTGATAATGTGTGAGTGTGGTGAAAGTGTTGAATGATGATGAAAGTATTTTCTTTTTGGGGATTTTTTTCTTTTTTGGGTCACCCTGCCTCGGTGGGAGACGGCCGACTTGTTGAAAAAAAAAAAAAAAAAGTAATAAGTGTACTGTATATGCATTTTATTGCTTTAGGGCACTTTAAACATCGTATTATATTACGTGAGGGTGGGGTGGCCAGGCGGGCTACCATACCTGACTTTCTACAAATAAATACTATTCACTTCTCACCCTACATTAAGACCATTAAGACTAGAAATATTTTAAGGTAAGTAATAAGTGTACTGTATATGCATTTTATCGCTCTAGGGCATTTTAAATGTCGTAGTATATTATATGTGGGTGGGTTGGCCAGGAGGGCTACCTTACCTACCATACCTGACTTCTTACAATAAATACTACTCACGTCTCACCCTACATTAAGACTACAAATATTTTGAGATAAGTAATGGGTGCACTGTGTGTGTATTTTACTTTTTATTGTTTTTAATGCCTAGTTTTATTGCTAACTTAATACTATATGTTAATGTAAACTTATTATCTGGCATTTATATGCATTTATAAGTGGGAAAAAATGGAGTTCTGCTTTCCGGTGATGTCCATTTTCCAGCAGAAGCCTGGAACCTAACCTGTCGTATAAGTGGGGCTCTACTGTAAATCTTTTTTTTTTTCCTTTGGGGAGGGGGGGGGGGGTAATAAAAAATCAATATGGAATTCATGTGTAAATCCTGGCAATATAACTAATGAACAGAGGAAATGTTATTTTAGTGCCAGGAATGTCTTCACTGTTTATTCTAAACCCTATTTTGAAACTGGAATATTTTGAAATTTGTGTGAAATGGACCAAATTACCAATTTCTCATCACTACTGAGTAGTTGAAATAGTTGACTGGGCAATTTCTTGTGCTCGATCAATAAAATGGAATACACACTAGCAAAACAGCTAAGAAGTTGGTCAACTGGAACAATGTAATTGACCTAAAATAGGACTCAAAGTGAACAACATTGCTGATGTGTAATTATCAATTTTCCATCAAATTTTGTATTTTCTTTTATTACCTTCAGAAAAACATTCTCTACTATTTCATAAGAAAAAATAACAAAAAAAAATTTTTTTTTTAAATTCTTGAATATTATGGACAAGTTTCAGATCGGGATCTGGACAGTGGAAGGGTTAATAGCAGGTACTATGAAGCTCATGAGGGTATGAGAGATGAATCTGTGAAGCAGCAAGCTAAGGGGAGGGGCCAGGAGCTAAGACTCGACCCCTGCAGCCACATATAGGTGAGCACGTATGCACACGCATGCACACAAAAAAAAAAATTCACAAAACATTAATTATAACTAAGGAACTGGTTCTTTTTATGAAGAGCAATATACACATGTAAATGGCATATTAAAGCCACAGCTAAGAAAAAATAAATGTGAAGCCTACCTATTGTAGAGCCAGACTTGGTAACTGATGATATTATGACAAAACCAAAGCCTTCATTTTCTCTTCTTGTTACTGTCACATCATAGGGAAACTGCATTTCTAAGGATCTGTTGTGGAGTTCTGTAAAAGTAATTTGCTAGGTAAGAGGAAAGCTTGCAAAAAATTCAATATTTTTGTTTAATTTCTTCTATTTATTTACCCTATATACAACTTTTCAGAATAGAAAAAATACACAGTTGGAGAGGCAAACCCACAAAGTGAAAACAACAAATAAGGTGAGTACTGTATATTTCAGCCTACAACTGAGATCCTCTTTAGCAGACTGACATGTTTACATGGGATACAGCCAATGCACACAGATTGCCTGACCTACATTATGTGATAAAAGTCAGGGTGAGAAGCAAGGACAAGTGGAGGATCAAGGTCAAGTAGGATAAAAAGTTAGGTTGAGGAACTAAATAATGTGTAGGAAGAAGACTTCAGGGCATCACGTTTCCACTGTACCCTGAAATTCTGAAATTGGTCATTAAGTAATTGTAGCCTTAACTTTTACCTTCGATGAGTTTCAAGAGTTTTTCTACAACTGGAACCCTGCCTGGGGCCAGGCTTGTCTGGTGCTTGCCTGGTCAACCAGGCTGTTGTTGCTAGTGGTCCACTGGCCCACATATCCATTTCAGCCTGGTCGATCTGGCACTCGGTGGAGATACTTGTCCAGTTTTCTCTTTCAAGATTTCTATACTTGTCCCAGCAGTGTTTCTGATATTTTATGGTTTAACAGTCTGAGACCACAGATGTTGGTACAATGTTCTATTGTTGTGCCTACAGTGCCCATTCCATGCTCCTTACCCCCCATGCTTGCACCACCTTTACCCCAAACACTTGCCCTCACCTCCATATCTTCACTGACCTGTCCTTACTCATCCCCTTACCCACACACCTGTGCCCATCTGATTATATGCTCAAGTGCCACATGGAATGTACATTTGGTGAAGGGAACACAGGACAGCAGGTACAGCATGCACCTATGGGCCAATTTCACCCCATTGCTCAGAACTTCAATTACTCTTCTTCACCCAGTACCCAGTTCTCACTAGTTCACACACTCCCACCCACTAGCTTGCAAACTCTCATCCATATGTTCTCACTCCTACACACACACTCCTGTGCATTCTCACCCATATGTTCCAACCTGAACATCAGCCTGTGGGCACACTGACGCCCATCCACACTCCCCTGCCCAAACCAATGCACCCTCACCCAACTTTACCATTACTCCTTGCTATTTAATGGCAGTATGTATGCACTTCACCCACATCCTTTAGTCATCCCCTCAACCACACATTCATTTTCTCTACACTTCCATCTGTCACCATGTCCACACCCCTCCCAGATCTCATGCCCCTCATGGACCTAACTCTTAAACGGGTCAAGAAGGTAAGGACAAATCAGTGAGTGATGCAGGCCTTGTGCTGTGGATATGGGCTGGCAGTTGACTAACAGACTCCACCATGTAAGCTGATTAATACAGCATATTCACCGAAAATCTTCCACAATTCTGCAAACGTGTTAACAGATCACCCTATGTATTATTAGTTGCAATCTATGGAAGAATTCCATATATACCAGGTACAGCAAGAGTGGTTCATTTATTCACTTATTATTAACACTAATTTTATTTGGGTATGGTGCATAATTATGTTGACTAGGTGTTGCATTTTCAAAGTTCAAGTAACTATGCTTGCCCTTCAGTTGTTTCTTCCTGGACTTAACTTGGTTCCGGAACCTAACCTTTCGCTATTTAATGTAATTCCTGGACTTGACTCAACACCATGTGATGTAGGTCAGGTGTCCTGGGTATATATTTTGTATTCCTTTTGCACTTGTTGGTCTGTCAAAGTCTCTCTTACTTACTGGCCTAAAATATAGAGTAACTCTTAACTTCTGTTTTGTATCTTCCATTTGGGTCACCTTGCACTAGTGACCAGTGTTTATTACACTTTTATAATTTAAATACACACATCATAAACAGTGGTAATAATAAAATAACAAGAAAGTGAATAGAAAGCATAATTTTTTAACTAAATAAATGGAATACTAAATTATAAAATACCAACAATAAAGTATACATACATTACAACTAAATATACAGTAAATATTCAATATATTTTTTTAAGTAAGACACACCAGTAGGAGTATGAGTTCGACGTCTTAAGGTAAGTGTTACTCTGCCATGAGTCGCTGCTGCTGCCATGAGTTGTACAACGTGGTGGTGACTGGAACCTAACACCATCTCTCCATCAACACCAATGATTTCATCCCCTGTAGCAACACTGCCATCCTGATCTGCTGCTCCACCAGGGACAATGTGACCTATAGATACCTTAAAAGAGAATAAGGGCATTCATGTTTGTGTTCTATTCACCTGTCTCAAAGATATCATCTTGATAATTGCACAATGGCATTAAATGATGGATAGATAACCAATACAAGGCAAAATACTCAGTGTTATTATCCCATGTAAGAAAGTTAGTCAGGGCTGAGTTTAGACATGGTGAGGCCCTAAGCTAAGGAAAGCTATAAAGGCCCAATCTGTCAAGTGTTAACAGAGAATTAGTGTGTGTAACAACTGAACTTCCCAAGAATGCTGCCAAAATGCACAACACACTCATGTAGGGCTGGGATGGCTACTCCATTATAATGTTTAAAATATACGTTTGGAGAAGTTTAAAGATATAAGAAAATAATACTGCAGATTCATTCCCAGTGACAACGTATTTAATTCCATGGCGTAAAATACTATTGTTAACTTGTAATTGCCAGATGCTGGAATGTAATTTGCACTTAAATTTTTACAGTAAAAGTTATTTTTTTAGAATCTCAGCATTTTATCCTGCACAGTTCTTATCCAATAAATTTAGTTTCTTTTTGTTTATTACTTATGCATTTTTATTTTATTTATTTTTATTTTTAAGAAGTTGGTCGTCTCCCACCAAAGCAGGGTTACCCAAAAAAGAAACACTTTCACCATCATTCACACATAATCACTGTCTTTGCAGAGGCACTCAGATATGATAGTTCAGATGTCATTCAAACAGCAAATATCCCAAACCTCTCCTGTAAAGTGCAGGCATTGTACTTCCTACCTCCAGGATTCAAATCCAGCTAACCAGTTTCTCTGAATCCCTTCACCAAATATTACCCTGCTCACCCTCCAATAGCTTGTCAAGTCCTAAAGCCATTCGTCTCCATTCACTCCTAACAAACTCACACTTGCCTACCATATATTCAAGCCTCTTGCACACAGAACCTCTTTTACCCCTTCCCTCCATTCTTTCCTAGGATGACCCCTACCCCTCCTCCCCTCCACTACAAATTCATACACCTTCCAAGTCATCTTGTTTTTCTCCATCCTCTCTGAATGACCAAACCACTTCAACAACCCTTCCTCAGCCCTCTGAATAATAGTTTCAGTAATTCCACGCCTCCTCCTAATTTCCATACTATGAATTCTCTGCATAATATACCACACATTGCCCATTGTGATACAACTGTTGTAACTGCTGTATATTAAATTTTATAAAAAATACATTTATAATTGTTGATAATTAATGTATGAAGTGTATTAAGTATGGGTTCAGAGCTGGCTTTAGGCATAAGCAAATGAAAAATTAATTCTGAAATCTTGAGAAGCCTCTTCAGACTGTGAAGCCCTAAGGTGTAGCTTGGTTAACTTTTGCTTAAATTAAGCACTGGAAATAGTCAGAAAGTCTCTTACTAGTGGTGATGGCCAATGCTTATAGAACCTCACTCTCAAACACTGCCTTACAACTTCAGTGTTCACAAGTACTTAAGCAGATATTTCTGCAGTCGTGGGGTGTCCAAGAATGTTTTCTCCTGTTCCATATTGAATGTCTTCTTCAAACCCAGAACATGAAGATGTGGGTGGAGGTTGTTTAGACAAGTTACTCCTTATGCAACATTAGCATCTTTGATTTGTTCTTTCTTTGCCAGGATGGATGTAATTGTTGATTTATTCTTGCTGTACATCCTGGCAAGTTCCACCACCTTCATATCATTTTCAAACTTTTCTATCACTTCACGCTTAAATTCTATGGTGTTTCTAACTTTCTTTACCACAGGATCGCTGTATAGCCCTTGTGGCTTAGCTCTTCTTTTTGATTATTATAATAATAATTTACCACAGGAACTTTCTTTGGAGCCATGGTTACTTATTTCACAGTTGTACTGCAAAAAAAAAACAAAAAAAAACACTAAAAACAATGGAAAACAAGCGAAATGTTTGGATGTATGAGCAGAAGCTTCCACTGAGAGATAAAGCCAAACTGACGCACAAGTGGCTCCAGCTGGCGGATGGACGCATCCCAAATGGCCGATAACTGAATTAACGGCCAATAACCGGGCGCTGAAAAACTGGCCGATAATCGGGGGTTCACTGTATATTGAAATAAACAGAATATAGAAAATCAGCTCTAAAATACATTATTTAGGTATAAATACTGGTCAGAGAGCCTGTCATAAGTCCGAGGCGTCGATAAATGAGTACGTCCCTAAGTGAGGAGAGGCCGTATACTACGACATTCAAAGTGCCCTAGAGCAATAAAATGCATATACAGTACACTCATTACTTACCTTAAAATATTTGTAGTCTTAATGTAGGGTGAGAGGGGAGTAAGAGAGATAAAAATGAATAAACGAGAGGGGGGGGGAGAGAGAGAGAGAGAGAGAGAGAGAGAGAGAGAGAGAGAGAACAAGTAAGAGGACAGAGCCACAGAGTACTGAGAGAGAACAAGTAAGAGGACAGAGCCACGGAGTACTATGTAATCAAACGGACGATTGCGTCTGGTTATGGTTCATACACATTCATACAAACAACTTACATTGTGTACAAGTTGTCTCCACAGTGGTACAGTAGAATAAATAAAAAGCAACACTTCCATTCTCATATAGCATCATGTTTAGAAGGAATGATGCTCTGACAAGTTAGTACAGAAGAATAAATAAACAGCAACACTCCCATTGTCATGCAACACACCATTTTTAGAGTGAATGATATAGGATAGCACTGGTTTGGTAATAGAGTTGTGGATGAGTGGAACAAACTCCCAAGTACCATCATAGAAGCTAAGACGACGTGTAGTTTTAACCCATTAACTGTCCAAACGTAGACCTACGTTCTTACTGCCAGCACTCCAAAGGTAGATCTACATTTGAATTTTCCTGCCTTCAAATTTGGCACAATTGGCCTAAGATGCCTGGTCAGCATAGAATGGGTCTTAACCCTCGGTGTGTGCAGTATTAAAAAAATCTGGGACCACTTAGTACCTTGTGGGAGCACCAGTTCAATTGCGCACCAGCTAGAGCAAACAGCGTGGCAAATGCCAAGGATTCAATGATGTCATGTCGTATTAACACTCCCCTTTTAACCCTCAAACCAACCAAAAGTAGATATATCTACATTGACGTGCGTAGCGCTCAGACCTTGATATTCTCCATTTGAAAGCATGTAAAATCGGACGCAGATCTACGTGCGGAGCACTACGCACGTCAATGTAGATCTACGTTTGCACAGTTTAAGGGTTCAGAGGAAAGTGTCATCCTGCCAGAATGACCTATAACCTATGCCTTAAGTAAAAAGAAAAGATTCTGGAACTATAATTTCGGCAGGCTGACTAGCCAGCAGCTGGCCAGCCACTTGGCTCTGTCTATCTCTCTGTCTGTCTGTATCTATCTCTATCTCTTTGTCTCTATCTCAGAGGAACACATGCGTAAATACAATTACTATACATAGTGCAAATTACCTAGGATAGCCCAAAAAATCCAGACAAATTGACATACTGTGCTTGTAGATAGTGATCGTGTGTAATAACAGTTGGTTCATGAGCAACTCTGACAGATAGACAGACATGTTTATTTGTTTTCACTGTTACACATAAAGTGAAGGCTCATCAAATGTCACCACTGTCATTAGTGGGGTGATAAGATAAGACTAGCTCATCAAATGTCACTATTATCAGCAGTGGAGTGATAAGATAAAACCACTGACACTCTTACATGATGCTACAAGGGAACTTAATTATAATTATTATTATTATTATTGTATACTCCCGTGTATCCAAAACATTGCTGGGACCTATAAATACTATGTATATATTTCTAGACAATAGTATGTGACTAAGGTAGGTGAAAATGTTCACCTGTCACTGTGTTTGTGACTATTTGTGTACTATTTCAGTACCTTATATTAGTTGTGGGAAATAATTTCCCAAAATTTATGCTGTGTAAATAAACCTGATTAATACGTTACTATTGTTCTGCTGAGTGTATTTTAAATAAGAGAATCGACAGGGAAGCTCTGCGCCTGCACTGACGAGCAGGGAAGAGACGCCATTGTTTTTTTAATTTGTAAGAAGCACGTTAATGTAAGGTGTATAATTTTCATCGCTCTAGGGGTTATATTGGGCTTAAAACCTCTCAAATAGGAGCCAAAATTGTTGGATGTGCAGTCCTGCATAATTTGAGCATTAAACAGATGTACAAGACAGCTCCAGGAACCTCAGATAAGCTATCTAAATTATGTTTGTAATTCTGGCCAGTATTATCATAATAAATTTGGGTAGAGGGGGTTCTGTACATGACACACAGTAATCTCCAGACTAATTGGTGAGTGTTATGATTATAAATTCTCCTTCTGTTATATAAATGTGTATATGTAATCATTTATTAATTTTAATATACAAATTTATATTAAATTTTACCAGAATTCCTGATGATGTACATGTCATTTGCAGTTAATAAAGGTTTAGAGCAACTTGTGGAGAGATAGATGGTAGGTATCGAAGGGGGACATTTTTTGCGACCTAGGTGTCCTAAAAATTCCTACTTGTCTCTGTAACTTTGATAAATAATAATTATCTTTATTACCATTTACTTGTATGTATCTAATGAGATTCATCCAGGTAAATGTAATTTTCCACATTAGTGTCAAACCAAAGACTACTATAAATAGTAATTATCAGAACATTAAAATTATATATACAATAATATAAAAACGAGAAAAAAAGGTATATTGGCAACACTTCTGCAAGTGGCAGGACCCCATGTTGCCATCAGATGAGCATCAAGGGCCAACTTTGCAGGCTCATATCTTTGTAAGTACTGACCCTAATTTTTTTTTTATCCTATGACACGTAGAAAATGAGCTCTTTATTTCTTTCAAAATATTCGGAGTGCTGGGTGAGAGAACGTATATATACATTTAGACAGTTAACAGGTTAAAAATAGGCTGGATAAATTCCTGTGTGGGTGGGTGTGAGTTGGACCTGACTAGCTTGTGCTACTAGGCCGGATGCCGTGCTCCTC